TATAAATATATCATTAAACATTTATCAATTAAATATCATTTTTCAATTCTTGTATAAATAGCTTTATTCTAACTAATTTTTTAAAAGTTAAAGTACTATATTTATATTATTTAATAGACCAAGATATCATTCTAATTGTAATCTTCCACCATATATACCAATAATTATTTAGAATTGAATACAAGCTCTCTTAATGAATGTCATAATCATTATCATTTTTGGCTTATTTAATAAATTATTATTTTCCTCTAAATATTTTATATAAGTTAAAAATAATTAAAGAATAGAATGAATCCTTAAATTAAAAATACATTAAATTGCTTAGATCAAACTTTATCTTTACACGGAACCATAGATTTAGAAGTTGATAAATGGGATTAAATCTAATAAAGGCTTGCTAAGGTTAAAATTCAATTAACAATTACACGAGATAATTAAATCATATGCTCATAAGAAGGAGTAATATTGAAAAAGTAAACGATCGTTTATATGTTTCAAAGCTAAATAATTTAAGATAATTATATGAATCCAGAAGTTTTAAACTTAGAATAGATAAAGCATCTTCAATGGCAAGGTGAATATTGTTAAAACAAGAGAAAATTTGGCAAATGGATAGCTATTTGGAATGGAGAAGCTCTTTTAGAAGTTGGTGGATACTATGAAAGTGGATTAAAATAAGGTTTATGGAAAGAACTAATTAATTAATATTGGAGGTAATAAAAATTAATTATTTAATTTCAAAAAAGCCATGCCACAATATATTAAAGTGGAGATTACTTTAATGATTAAAAATAGGGAACATGGACTTATAACTATAATAACGAAAAGATGTAATATTTTTGCTTAATTAAATAAGAGGGGGTGGATCCTACAATAACTAAGGCTAAAAAGATGGTAAATGGATTGAGTTGAAGGATAGGTTTTATGATGAATCCTAAGTCACTTATAGTGGGGAGTATAAAAATGGTAAAAAAGTCAGTATTTGGGAAACAAAATACTAACATAAATATATGTAAATTTATCTAATTATCTCTCAATAATTAGTGGTGGCGGATCATATGATTATGGAGATGAAGGGATTAAAGTTGGAAGATGGATTGAATTAAGTGATGGGTTTTATAAATATTCATAAGTCACTTATAATGGAGAATATAAAAGTGGTAAAAAAGTAGGTAGATGGGATATCAAATATGAAGGATAATTGATGTAACCTTATGATATGTTCAAATTTAGTGGAGGTGGATCATATAATAATGGAGGTGATGAGTTTAAGATTGGGAGATGGTTTGAGTTAAGCGATGGGTTTAGATGGAATTCATAAATTTCTTTTGAAGGTGAATATATAAACAGTACCAAAATTGGTAGATGGGATATCTTGTAAGATAATTTAAAGATGTAAAATAATATTATTCAATAATATTTACAAATTTTTAGTGGTGGTGGCTTCTATGATGAAGACGCTAATGGAATTAAGATTGGGAGATGGATTGAATTAAGTGATGAATTTTGGAGCAGTTCTTAAATCATTTACAATGGAGAATATAAAAATGGTAGAAAAGTTGGCAGATGGGAAATTTAGCATGAATCCAAAATGATGTATCATGATTTGAAGAATGCTTAGTGGTGGTGGGTTCTATGATGAAGAAGGTTATGGAATTAAGATTGGGAGATGGATTGAATTAAGTGATGAATTTTGGAGCAGCTCTTAAATCACTTACAATGGAGAATATAAAAATGGTAGAAAAGTTGGCAGATGGGAAATTTATTATAAAAAGGGTAATAGAGATTAAAAGAAAGAATTAATGTAAAATTGTTGTTAGAAAGTATTAGTGGTGGTGGGTAGTATGATGAAAGGGAAAATGGGATTAAAATTGGGAGATGGATTGAGTTAAATGATGGTTTTTATGATTATTCTTAAGTTATTCATAATGGTGAATATTAAAATGGCACAAAAATTGGAAGATGGTAAATTCAGTACGAAGGGAAATAAATGTAAATTTTCTTATTAATCACATTATAAATGTCTTAGTGGTGATGGATCATATGATGACAGAGGTAATGGGATTAAGAGTGGAAGATGGACTGAATTAAGCGATGACTTTAACTGGAATAAGTAAATAACTTATGATGGTGAATATAGAAATGGCAAAAAAGTTGGTATATGGTAAATTAAGTATGAAGGAAACTAGATGTAAATTTATTTTTAATCCAATTATTATTTTCTAGTGGTGGTGGATCATATGATGAAAGAAATGGTGGGATTAAAATCTAAAGATGGAAGGAGTTGAGCAAAGGATTTAAATATAATTCCAAAAGGATTATAAATGGTGAATATAAAAATGGCAAAAAGGTAGGTTTATGGATGGAAATAGATCTAACAAACAATTAGATATGCAATGAATTGAAATATAATAAATGATTAAAGAAAATAAAAAATAATATATATAGCGTTTCGAATAGTATTTAGAATGATTTATAGATTCTATTTGTATTAGTTAATAGTATTTTATTACATATGCTCAAATTTTCTATTTGTTAAGAAGAATAGAAATCTGATTCTAATTCATCTTTATTTAATCAGGCTAGCATAACTCTAATAATCAAATATCAACCTAGAGCCTTAAATTAGCGAATTATTCTTCGATTTATAAGGCAGAAGTGTCCCATAAATCAATGCTCCATTTTTCTGTAGAATTATCGCTAAATATATAAGATTTTAGAATATACTATGTGTTGTTAGTTTTAGAATTAATAAGATTGATTATCAATAATAATTTATATCATTCATTCATTATATTTCTAATTTGTATTTCTTTTGATGTATCATCCCAAGTAAGTAAATACTATCCATCATCACTTACTGCTCCAAAAATTAAATGATTATTAAATTGAATATAATAGTCTAATACCATCTCAGAATCTGAAGAAATTCTTATGAAATTCACAAATGATCCATTTTTATTTACTATCATCTATTTATTATACAAATTACTAAGGAAAACAACTTTAACAAGAATTTCCATTTTTAACTTATATTTCTTAAATACATGATTAGTATGGGTAGTAATAGTTTAAAAACATAACCATTCTTATTTAATACCAGACTCAAATGCTTGTAAATTTACTTATTAACTCCAAAATTTAATTGTATTATCTGCACTTTCAGAAATTATTAAATCTTCTTTAGAGTGACATATTAAACAAAATATAGTCCCCTCATGTCCTTCTAATATATATGAGCAATTCCAAAATTTGTTATTTTTTTTCCCATATTCTTATCGTCTTATCATCACTCCCAGAAAGAAAAGAATCTTTTATTTCATAAATGCTAGATAATTAACATAAGAAGAATGTTCATTAATCACTTAAATAATTTTAATTGACCATTCTGAAATGAGAATATTAGAATTCTTGATAAACATCCTACAATTACAACTGATGATCTTTATTTATTGCAATTACATAACATTCATCATCTTATTTGATTGAGTATTATTATAATTTCTCATATCTAACAGATTTTATCACTTAAGTTTATTCTTTATAATTATTTTTTATTCTTCTTCATTTACACTTTCAATCTTTGATGTAATTTACAATTTTTCAAACAATTCACTTTAAAAAAAATTAAATAAATTTTAAGAGAAACTTTAAGGAGAATTGCTTGGGTTTCCTTCCAACTTTCAATTTTTAATTGTTGATTTATCATATATTCTAAAAAATTTTTTTTACTGAAAATATTAGCAATTTCATTCGTTTTATCTTTGGTTAATTCTGACCGTTATATTTCCTCCTTTGATTTTAATTATGCTATCTAATTTTAATAAAGTTAAATATTATCAATTAATTTTATTTTATGTTCTTCAATAAAACTATTTAATTTTAACTACAAATCATTCATAATTTACTTCAACCATTCTTAATTTTGATTAAAATTTTATATTTTCAATTTCATATCAGTTATGTAAATTTATTTATATATTGCCCATTATTCTTAAAACTTCGATAACCTAGTGTATCTAATTGGATTTTCTTCAACACAATTCAAACAAGCAAATCTATTTGGTAAAATACTTTTTTCATTTAACCATCATAATTTCACTTTGATGTTTCTCACATATTAAATTTTAATTATTAAATTTTTTTTATTTCTATTTAAGTAAATCTTCGAGGACATCTTTTGAAACCATTAATTACTCAGAAAGTAAAGTGCATAATTGTTCTTTTAATTTTTTGACCAAGTTTTATGAATTAAGCAGATTCATATTTTTTTAGAAAATGCGTTTTACACAATCATAATTAATTGTTTCATTTCTAATTCTTTAAATCTTAAATTAAAGATATAAAGGTCATTTAATGGAATTTCTTGAATTTATGATATAAAACTCTACATTTTTAATAGAATTAACTCAATTTATTAATCAATACTCTCAATACATTTGTCTGAAAAGACCTATATTTATGATTTAAATTATATCACATCTTACCTTATTTTTAGTATTACAGAAAGATTTTTATTCTCATTATTCTCATATAATAAGAGTTTAAAGTGCATGAAGGCTATGTTGGATATCCTCTATCAATACTAAATCATTTCTCATTTCAGCGAGGCATAATGGACATATTTTCTTAATTTAGCATCCTTTTATGAAGGATTCTAGAAAATAACCAGCTGGTTGTGATTCACACATTTCTGTTAATTCATTGTAATAATATTAATTATTTTATAGACTAATTAAATAATGAAAACCTTTATTTAACAGGAATTTCTTATTATAATTCTATTATTCTTCTTCTCAGTCAGCTCTATTTATACTCAAAATTTCTAACAAATAAATCTATTGATTCTCAAAGTTTATCTTTTCAATCAATAAAATTATTAATTGAAGAACTTTTTAATTATTCTTTAATTTTTCTTCTTTTTTTGTTTGATTTTTCATTAAGTATTAAATAACGAATTTTTTGGACCTTTCCAAAAAACTCAAAATATGGAAGAGTGCTAATTATATATCATTATTTAATATTTCGAAATAATGTTCTAAGAACTTTATATTGTTATATGATATTTTGTTATATGATTGCAAATAATCTCAAGAACACTAAAAAATACTATTAAGTTTCAATTTCCAAAAAAATAATAATAGTCGATGGAACAATAATGAGATTGGAAATATTTGACTTTTTACTAGTATTTGATTGAATCAAATCTAAGGTATATAACAGTTTATCGGATGTATTATTAGTTATTTGTAGCCTTTAATAACATGATAGTCGATTTGATTTTTTATTCGATTGGCAATAATAAGAATCTTTACAAAAGTCAGATAATTTAATCATGAGCAATTATTACTTTAAGCATTAATTTTTGACCCCTACCTGTGTCTGATTTAGATATATTTCTTAATTTGAGTACAATCATAGATGGCTTGTGGTGTTACTAAAAATTAAGATGCACCTAAGCCTATTCAAATGAAAATATGACGCATGATTTCATTTATTTTAATATTGATAAATAGAATTTCTGATTCCACTGATATCTTTTTTCTTCATTATCCTATCCCCCCCCATAAACTTCAATAAGTATTAATATAGAAAATCTGTTTTTTATATTTGATCTGATAATTATTCAACATTTTTGTATTTTTTGAGTAAACTTAATTTTAATGGTATTTTTCAAATTAAATTAAAATCAATAATTCTTTTAATTTTATTTTTTATTTTACATTAAGTTGCATTAATCTTTAGAATTGAATTTTATTTTTTATTGAATAAATTTGTGATACTTACTTTAAATTCATATATATAAAATAGAGCAGTGGAATTAAAATAAAAGTCAAACCAGGTTTGAAATAAAAATATTAGGTTATATTGCCTATTTTTACAATTATTATGAAACCGTCTCAGATCATGAGAAATACGGTAAATGCATCGCAAATGACTATCTATATCATCATAAATGTCATAGAATGATTTTTTCTTAGTTTCTGTTTTAATTGAAAATGCTATAACTTGAAATGTTGAGTTTGCACAATTTTTGCTGTTTAAATAAATGATCATCTAAATAATACCTTACAATTTTGGATAATAGCACAAAAACAGACTAAAGGTATATTCTTGACTTGTCTATAATGTCATTTCTCATGTTTTATTTGGTTTTATTTTCTTTTCAACTGAAAATTTTCATTTTCAATATTTTGCAAAATTAAAGCAAATATTGTTTTTCTCACCAAAAAGAAATGATTTTTTTTAATCTGCGCTATTCTGAAAATAAACAACACTTTCACTAATTCTTTACCTATCGTTAAAATTTAACTAAAATTTTATAAAAGCTTTTGGTATGATAATTTCAAGCAACATACCATCTTCGTATTTTAATTCATTTTATAGATTTTATGGATCTCCAATATTGAATTAAAATAAAAAAATCTAAATTATAAATAAATGTTAGATTTTAATTATTCTTCAATATGGATGTGAGAAGTGAACTTTATAAAATATAAGGTTTAATGTTAGGCTATTGCTTTATAATTTTGACACTAAGTTTTTTTGGTTACTAAACTTTGCTTCTGCTCGTATTCCCCTTTATAATTAGTACCTTAAATTAGCTATACTATCTCAATAAGTAGACTTTTTAAATTGAAATTTTTCACATACTATCGATCCTAGGTGACATTATGCAGATATCAAAATAAAATATATATGTAAAAACACTCTTACAATTTAATAAGCACTCCAAAAATCTCATCTATTTAAAAATAAATTTAATGAGGTGGAAAAATAACGCAAGTAAAATGAAGTGCGCTATACACTCTAGCTTAAGAGATGTGGAGGGGTGAGGCTAAACCTCGCTCTCCTTTTACATAGAGATTTAGAAGCTTAAGTAAACTTATAAGGATCTTAATTTTTAATATTTTGTTACGTTTATTACGAATTCCAATTAGACAATGATATCCTGATTCAAGATTATTTAAATACTATAATTTTTAATTACGAAAGACAACCTTTTGAAGAACGATACTTATAATTAGCAGATATTACAATTTAAATAATTTTTGGATTCCTAGTTAAGTGATTATATTCACAGAAAAATAATCTGGACCTTGGTATTGTGAAATTTAAAAATCACAATTAACTAAGCAAGATGATGTTTTTCATATAATCTTAAGAAAAAAATATTAATTCAACACTATCTCAAAAAATTTATTAGACAAGTAAAAGCCAATAATAAATTGAATCATATCTTTTATATTAGTTTTCAAGAATAGAAAAACTATTTAAATAGGCAAATCTTGGTCTTGAATTAATAGAACTCTAAATAAATTATAAATTTTTCAAAAACTTTTATGTCTACAATTAATGGTCTCTATCAAAATTTCACTAATTATCTCTTAAAGAAGTAAATAAAAACATCAGGTGATTAATATCTAAATTTATATATGAATTAGTTTGAGTTGTATTACACAATCCTATTAAATACTAAAACTAGCTATAATCAAAAATTTTATAGATTACTCTTATTTCATCTTTGGTAATTAATTACTTGAATTTTTCAATAATTTAATTCCAAATAAAATAATTTGATATAATCGGTTGTATTCTAAATTATTCAAAAGAAAATATTGAAAGTGTATATATATTATTTAGATTTATGTTAATGACAGTAAAGGAAATGAAATTTATCTATTTCAAATAGTTATAATTTTTTTATAATTGACTTTCTCTTTTGGAATAACAACATCATTTTTAATTATTCTTCTACTCAATAGTTTTGCTTTGATTTATTAAACATTTTTTGGTTAATTTCTTGAAAGGGGACTTAAATAATTATCATTTTATAAGATATCAAATAAATTTTATATTTATAAAAATGGATATGCAGAATACTAAATTAATTACTGAATATTTAATAACTGAGTAGATTATGCTTAATGATGATTAATCTATCGTTTCAATCTTTTAGACAGAGAAATACTTTTATATCTATTGGTAATTAATTAACATTTTCAAAAAATTGCTTTAGTATATAATTTTTTTAATTATTCAATTTGGAAGGTTTAAATTTGATTATTTTAATAAATAAATTTGATTAGTCTGTTCAATGCGCTCATTAATCCTTGTTATTACAGTTTTGTAGATTTACATTTATATTTACATCTTGATAACAATTATTAAAACTGACGAATAATCATTCCCTATACTTGACTGATAATGTATTTAAAAAATGTTAAAGTAGAGAAGGTGCACATATGAATAAAGTAAATAAAATATTGTAAAACCTTCTTGTTAAGTACTCAGATTTAAAATATAGAAATGTAACTGTTATTATAATGTTCTTGATAATAATCAAATTCACTTTTAAAACAAGGTTTCCGAAAAGCAACTTCCTTTTTGTTTAAATACAGTCTTTAAATCTAGACCTGATTAATTAATGAATTCTCCTTTTAGAATTAAAGCTCCTTAAGCTTGAAAGAGTGCCTATTGAGATATGATAAGGATAGGTTTATTAGCCATTACTAAAGATAGATTAATAATAAATACCTGGTAGAAGGTAGTTTTAAAATAAAGGGGTTTTAAATTAAGCAAAAATATTTTTATAAGTTTTATCCATGATTTAAATTTGTTTTCTTGTGTTAATATCCCAGAGATGGATAGAACCATCTTCACTACAAGTTGCTAATGTGTTCCCATCTACAGAGAAACAAATTGATTACAAAGCGTTATTATAACCATCCAATTTGGCTTTTTATTATCCTGTTTTTACATCCCATAGATGGATAGAGTTATCACTACTACTAGATGCTAATATGTTTCCATCAGGTGAGAAACAAAGTGAAATGACAGAACTAGTGTGACCATCCAATTTGGCTTTTTATTATCCTGTTTTTACATCCCATAGACGGATAGAGTTATCGCTACTACCAGATGCTAATGTATTTCCATTAGGAGAAAAACAAATAGATCTGATAGGCTCATTATGACCATCCAATTTGACTTTTTATTTTCCTGTTTTTAAGTCCCATAAACAGATGGAATTGTCATAACTGGCAGATGTTAATGTATTTCCATCAGGAGAGAAACAGACTGAATAGACAGTTCCGCTATGACCATCTAATTTGGCTTTTTATAATCCTTTTTTTATATCCCATAAACAAATAGACTTATCATAACTACCAGATGCTAATGTGTTTCCGTCAGGAGAAAAACAAACAGCTCTAACATAATCACTATGACAATCTAATTTGGCTTTTTATTATCCTGTTTTAATATCCCATAGACGGATAGACTTATCACTACTACCAGATGCCAATGTGTTTCCATTAGGAGAGAAACAAACTGACATAACATAACTAGTATGACCATCTAATTTAGCTTTTTATTATCCTGTTTTAATATCCCATAGACGAATAGACTTATCACTACTACCAGAAGCTATTATACTTCCATCAGGAGAAAAACAGATTTAGTTGACACTAAGAATATGACCATCCAATTTGGCTATTTATTATCCTCTCTTTACATCCCATATACCAATAAAACAATCACTACCCCCAAAAGGACTACCACTACCAGATGCTAATGTATTTCCATCCGGAGAGAAGCAAACTGAGTTGACATTAAGAATATGACCATCCAATTTGGCTTTTTATTATCCTGTTTTAATATCCCATATACGGATAGACTTATCATCGCTACCAGAAGCTAATGTATTACCATCTGGAGAAATACAGACTGATCTCACACAGCTACTATGACCATCCAACTTTTTTAATTCATGGATTTTCAAGTTTTTCCATTTACAATTAAACAATATTGTACCATTTAAATTGACTCCACTTATGTCTACATTATCAAATTCTGATCCATTAAAGTTGCATCCAAAAAAATTACCTCCAATCAAAGAAGTATTCTTTATCCTGATATTCTCGAAGGATTGGTTCCTAATATCAATCTTCATGCCTACTAATAAATTTAATCCATTTGATCCACATTAAATAAATTTTACATCTATACTTGTGAGGAGAACTAAAAACTTTATAAAATCTATGATCCCCTTATACTCTACTATCATTTTACTGAGATCTTCTCTTGGTTTTTCGTAATTATCTGAAGAATAGTCAACTTGATTAAATTGATGATCCTAAATATTTCTCAAGACATTTATTATTTTCTTTATTTTCTTTTATAAATCACTTGTATTCTCTAGGTTGTTGATAAAAGATTCATAAAATTGATGGTTGTTATTCTTTGAAAGGAATGCAAGTATGTCTGAAACTTTCTCTCTTCTAAGTATTTAAAGAATCTTCTAATAAATTGATTCATCCACATCCTAAATGTAAGTAAACATTTCAGAAAGATCTTCTTTCATTTAATAAACTTCGCTTTCTTCTTCTTAATTACTTTGAATTCTACAATAATAATAAATACATACTTAATTAAAGACATAATCTATTGGATTCCTTCCTTGGACTTTTGAACAAAGGCCTTAAGATGATATTCCCACCAATTTTTAGTCTTATCTAATTCCGTTATAAAAGAATTCTTCTAAGCATTCCAATCATTTAAAGTTGTTCCATCAACAATTTTTATTATTTTTTCTAAGTCAGTGTAGGAGCATTCAGCTAAATTAGTATTTTCGTTGATGAGATTAAAGAATGATTAGTTTTCTTTTTCAATCATATCATAAATTTACTTGATAGATTGTGATAATTCTTCCCAAATTTTCTTCAGCATTGATTCAGTTTGAGAGAGCAAGGATTTAAAGGCCATTGTCTATTTGGTTAACTCAGATGTTTCGTAAAGCTTAGAGTCTTTTAATTTCTTCATTGCCATTTCTTAAAATATTGTCAATGGAATTGTATGTCTAAAATCTACTCCATGTATATATTGACATTCTACACAAAGTTTCCTTTAACATTTGCACTTGTGAGGAGCTTTGCATATCAAAGAAATAGGATTTCTGATATGATAAGTGCAATTCATAATTTTTTATTTTTATTTTGAATTTCTATTACTTTAAGTTTAAGATATATACTAAAAATCAAGAAATAGTAGTTTAGGCTTTCCTGTGAATTGGAAAGATTGATATAAAGGAAAATATTCAATTTGAGAATTCTATTCATAATTAGCATAGCTCAATTCACTAATAAGATAAAATATCAAACGATTATATGAATAATTTAATTTACACTAAATTTGCATTTGATTGTTTTTATCTCTATATTTTTCTTAATAATCCTAATTTTGATTTAAAAAATAGTTATTTTTATCTTAATTATAATAGATAGTTATATTACTTAACAAAAACTTGCTGATTATTTGGCTCCTTGATATTTATAATTATAAATTTTTTTTTCTTTAAAGTTTCATTAGAGAATTTATTTAATTGTTTTAGAGAAAATATTATATTTCACAAGGCATACGGCTTTCATAGGGGTGCAATATATTAAAGTATAATAGTTTTTCAATAAATTTATATATTGGAATCGACCAAATGTTCTTTCATGAATACAGGAAAGAAATTTTTTTCATTATGACACTATAAATTATTTTTCTCTTTTTAATGGACTCAATAAACTTTCGATGGAGTTTAATTTAGGGCGATAAAGAATCAGAAAAAGTATTACTGGATTATAAAAATTCATTATATTGTAGAAAAACTTTTATGAGCTCTTAGTTACTTATTTGTAATCATTAAGCAACCTTATTTTAAAAATTAAAATATTAAATCCCTTAAACTTTCATCTTTTATTATATTTAATAACTGCATTCTGCAAATTCTAGTTGTTATTTAATCATTTATTATTATATGATTCTATAAAGTTAGAAAAATTTAAGTGTGGCTTGATCTCTTAATTAAATCCTTTTAATTGGCCATTATTTTACTCCTTTTATTAAAGAGATTATATTACTCTAAATTTTGCTTTATCCATTTGCAAAATTAATAAGTAAATGTCAATTAATCAATCATTTCATTATGAGCAAAGTTTCTAAAGAAAAAAATCTATTCTCAAAAGTTTATTATTCAAATATATAATTGATTTGTCTTCCAAACTTCATAGATTATCCCCTAATTTATTAATTTAATACCTTTTTAATACAATTCTTCTGATTTACTTAAATTTACCTTTGAAAATTAATAATGATAATTAAATAGAGTTATAATTGATTCAAATATTTTTTTCACTGAAATTATAACTTGCTTTTTTATGTTGAGGATGTTAAATATAACTTCTTTTTATAATACATTAATGGCAATAACACACTCTCCTTTACAAGATTCTCAAAACATACTAATTTAACATTTTAAGTACACTCTGAATTTTGGCATTTGATAATAACTTCATTATTTTAATTGACAATTATTATAATTTTAAATTGATTTCGACTTCTATTTACATACATTTAATAATGATAATTGAATTATTATATCAAATTTAATAACTTATTTCATAGTTTTCTTTTTCTTCAATTTAATCTTTAATCCTCGCTATTCTTTATAAATTCTTTTGAGATTTAATTATACAAACACTTCTATTGTCATTTAGCTTAGGCTCCTTATTAACAAAGAATATCTAAAGTCTCAAGAAAATGAAGAATTGAAATATTTTTATATTTTTCAAAAAAAGTAATTTTAAGATTCTTATTGTTAATTTTTTATTTTTATACTGTAGAACTAAAAGAACTAGATTAGCTTTACCCTGTTGCTCTTTAACCAAATTTAAATTTTGGTTTTATTCAATCAGCAATCTTATCTATTGAGTTTCTATTTGATTTTGTATTATTAAAGATAAAAAATATAATTTCATGGGCTTTAAATAGTACAAATGGCAATCTTGAAGTAATCTGCTGATATAATACGAATAAATCATGATTCAACTCAAAAATTGTTATTTTAATATTACAATCGAAAGATTAAACAAAATTTGAATGGTTTTTCTTATTTTGTTTAATTTTTGTAAATAATTTAGAAGGAATAGAGGGAAGCTCAGATTTTATTGAAGTTTTGAATTCCTATATGTTAAGACTGTCTTATTTATCCATAAAAATTATTGGAAATTCTGTAGAAGTGTTTTCCTCTACAATTTCTGAGTCTTTGCTTAAATCATATTGCATGCATATATCATTGACTTAAACAATTGTTTTTTAGTAATAGTATCTTCATAATCAATTTATTTAATTTTTTAAGATGCTTTATCTATTACCTGATTTCTTCTTTATATTAATTATATTATAATGAAAATGTATTGGTTTTCTTTAAACTCTTAGGTTCTCTTTTTAAGGGTCCTTAGGAAAAATTGTTTAATTTTTTCAATTTATCATTCTGATGATCAAAGTGTGTGACATATGAACAAATAATCTTAAAATTTCTTGCTAATTATTCAAATTAATTGGTCAAGTTAATCTTAGAAAAAACTTTAGACAAATCAGAATAATAAATATCACTTTTAGATTTTCAAGTTATTTAATTCTAAAATTAAGCAAGAAATAGGAAGAATATTACTAAATTTCAATTAATATTTACCTCTAAGAAAGATATGCTGAAAATAGATTAAGCACACCACTAAAAAGCCATTAACATAAAATACATCATCATCTAAAAATTCTTCATAGAAAAAGATAATTGATTAAAATAATTTATTCAATTATTTTTTTGAAAAAAGATTTATTTTATTTTATATCAAATTAAATCGATATACTTACAATGAGACTTAGTATTTATTCCTTCTCATTCTTAAAGTCAAATACTCGAAGTTCAAAGAATAACTTTATTTGATGAAAAGGAATGCTTAGAAATAATTTCTTAAGCTGTTCTATTATAATTGTCAAATATAAATGATTAAATAGGTATAATATAAATAAGTATAATATTAGAAAAAAATGGAGGGATATAAGTTAAAGAAAATTTGTATTTCGATTCTTAGAGACATTATTCTTAATTGCAGGAATATTAAAAGATTTAAGGAAATAATTTTGATTAAAATTTAGAGTCTCTAAAATTACTTAGAAATAAAAACGAAGAATATTACTGAAAAATAGTTGAAGATGGGATGAAAAATTAAGGAAATAAGAATTAAAATTTGTACAATAATATAATAACTTAAGAAAATCTAACTCAGAATTATTAGATACTCAACATCTTCAATAAAAAATAGAATAAATTTTTAAATAAAATATCCCTAAAAGCTAAGATAATAAGATTGCAAGATAAGTCTAAATTATTTTATGATACATTTAATCATATATATAAAATACTTAAGATTTTATAGCAAGTATGGGCTCTTATAACAAACTAGAAGATTTAAGCTAAATGAATAAAATTTGGATTTAGAGTTAATTAAATTTATATTAAGTTTTTTCTAGAATAAATAATCATGTATCAATAAAATATAGATTTTTATCATCTATCAGTTAAAAAAATATTAATATTAATAAGCAAGAAGTTAATATGATTGAAAAAAATCAATAGCTTTTATGCATGAAACATTCAGAATATGCTACGTAGGTTTAGTTAGATGAGTAATTGAAAGGTTAATAAAAATATGTATGTAATAAATATTTAAATAAGGATATACAGTATTTTAAGTTAACTGCTATCAATAATTGGTAAAATAGAAAGAAGAAGACATAAACTAAATAGTTAAATTTGCTAAGTTATTCGATGAGATAATTCAATCATTTCCATACAATTTTATAAGAATACACTATAAAAAAAGAAAGATATGAATATAAATTTTAATCAAATCAAAATGCTGATTTAAAAGTCTATAGAAGAAATGAAAGATTTAAAGCAAAAATTATATTCATGTAGTGCATTATAGGAAGTAAATGTTTTAAACTTTAGCGAAGATTTTTTAATTGAAAGTGAAATAAGATAGATAAAAGAGATAGCTGCTAATATTCACTACTATTATATCCTAATATTATCAAATATAATTAAAATTATAAGATAAAATTTCAAATTTCAACACTAGTTTGAATATAACTTCGATATTGCAAGGGATAACGCATAAATAAATTTAAATAACAATAATTATGTCAAGTTCTAAGATTTAATTTTGATTATTCTAAAGTAATTGCTGGTACTTGTAAATAATTAAAAGTGCTGTATCTACAATACATAAGATCATTCATAAGTAAATCATACTTGAAGGACATGATGAAGACATATGATGTATAGTTTTCAGCAAAAAGTGTGATTGGCCAGTATCTAGAGGTGATGATTCATTTTAATGTGTTCGAACTAGTTAAGAAGCAATTGGGAGAAGAGTTGGACAAAATAAGTAAGCTCAGGTTAGATTACATAAGTAATTATAAATGATAAAGAATACTAATTAATTTTCTGTAGCTTTTAAGGAAAATAGGGATCTAGAGGATAAATTAAGATAATAATTAAGTTTAAGAATTATAAAATCCCCATAAACATAAAGAAAAGTATATTGTTTTAGTTTAAGTAAATCACATGACCTTATGATATCATGTAGCGATGATAATTAAATTGTAATTTGGGGAAAAGCATTTAAAGAATCATCGGAATTCAAATAGTTTATCATCACATAAAGAAAAAGGATCTAAAGTGTGTTTTTTTTAATTTAATAATACAATAATTACTTGAGCTTCTTAAGAATAAATAGAAAGATATATCAATAACAACAATGAATATATTTAAAGCAATAACTTAAGGTTTGACCTTAATAGCTTCTAAAATTTAAATAACAATGAAATGAGTAGTTTTAAAAAAAAAAAATTATCACTTTATTTTTTATTTAAAAATTGAACCATTCATAAAATTAGAAAATTGGAAAAAATTGCATGAATTGTAGTTAAAATTTAAGGAATGGAAATATTTAATTCCATACACTGCTAATCTAAGCTTAATTTCAGAGTATATGAAATTAAATATGATTAATGAACTATATTATTTTATGAGATAAAAAATTGATTGAAATATTGTTAATTTACTACAATAATTGAAATCAAGTAATTTAGAATTATGATTGTTTTGGAAAAATTTATCAAAAGAAAACATACTAATTTTAATTATAAATGCAAAATTGTTCTTGAAAATATTAAGTGAATAAACATATACCAAATATAATTTAAAGAATATCATAAATAATATTAAATTAATAATGTTATAGATTAAGTTTAGCATTGTATTTCTAGACATCACTTTCGAATTCCTTTATCTAAATAGTAATACCCACTCTATTTTAACTTCCATTTCTAAATGAACAAGATACTTAAAAACACTTTTCTATGTTTTTAGACTATTATATCCACATCTTATTTGGTTAAATATATAAACTCTTCATCATATACATTTTTGAAATTTCTAAAGTAAATAGATAATGATTATTTTCCATATTCGGATGTAAACTATCAAATCATCAATTTTACTTTCGTATTTATTATAGGTTCCCTTTCCACTAATATATGTCGACAAATATAAATAGTCTGCGATTAATAAATTGATTTTTTTAATTACATTTTGATACTTTTTTCAATTTTCACTTGTTTCAATGTATGCTGCTTTAAAATACTTTATGACAAGAAATATCTTACTCTCTAACTTTTTGATTTAAGTCTATCCATATTCCTTCTTTCTTACCTTTTTTATTATGAATAACTATTGCTTTTTGATGAATAGATTTATTGAATCATTTTTTTCTTTTTAAATAAAATTTCATTTTTTATTTCTCTTTAATTTATACAATCTATAATGATTTATCCCTAAAAATTTTTTTTAATTGTCTTCAATTTTCCCGTATTATTATCATTACATTAGTCTCCCTTAGTTAACCTTTATATTTTTACCAAATCATAACTCCTTTTGATATTTTAATATCAAAAAAAATTAGAAATATTTGGATATTGAATTATTGTATACTTTGATATTAATCTTATAATTCAAATTATTTACTTGAAGATTGAAAAGGAGAAAGGTAGAAATTATTAGCAGAATTTAGTATATTAATTATGTAAATTTAAACTAGTTAGAATTCAAATTAAGCCTCTGTTTATTTTCATAAGAGAAATAATATTTTATTAAAAATTAACATAATGCTTAAACTAAAAAGAATACATTGATAAATAGAGATTAATCCATTTTATTATGCATTAATCTGTTATTTTCCTATAATTTGCATAATTATTCAAATTTTATATTAAATCTAAATACTATTAAATATAGGTAACTTTATATATTCTAATCACATTAATTCTCTACATTTATAAATCTTTGTTCATTAAGATACTTTAAACTAAATTATTCAAACATATAATAAATTTTATTGACAATAACAAGTATTTTATGCAAAATTCAAAATAAACTAGTGGTATTATTTTAATTCTATAATGATATGAAATGATTAGATGATAAAGAAACCAACTATCAATAAAAAAAAAATCCCATTTAAACCATATATGAAACCTAAATTTTACATTTTTTGGTATTTTAACTAATAACTTTGTAATTATGAATGATTTTATATTTTTTTTAATTATAAAATTTTGAATTCCTCATCTGATCTGGTTCCTGTTCTGTTTCTTTATCAAAATTAATACTTAAAAGCAAATGAATGAATTATCATTTAGAATTAAATTTCTTACAGATATGTGATTTGGCATCATCATTAATAATATAAATATTCAATTCAAAATATGAGGCTGAAAGAATAAATGAGGAAAATATTTTTTACTTTTTAAAATGTGATGAAAGTGAGAATAAACAATCAAAATTGGGGTGCCAATGATTTTTGCAAGAACTTGAGTACTGAAATAATCGCTTCTTATTTATTCATCTGCGGTAGTGAAATAATTAGGTATAAAACATTTCTTAAAGCCATCCAAATGTCTGAAGCTGATTAATGACATATTTGACATATGGTAATCTTCTAGAATGTCATAGATGGAATAGAAGATCCTTTTTTCAGCTCCCAAGTTAGTTGCCTTTAGGAAATTACCCAAAATTTACAATCCCAGGGGAATCTACTCTTAGAAGTTTGATTACAGCCAAAACTCATCGTTTAAATCCTCTTCCATAAACTTAGAATAGCCTGAATTTCAGGATTCTAATCCAGATATTTGCTAACCCTTGCTGGAAATTTTATTTTAATCAACTAACCTGAAGTAATTAATCTTTAAAAAAAAATTAAAAATTCCAAATTCTTAAAAAAAGATAGGGAGAGAACCTTTGAAAAAAGATGGATTGCGATAATTACCTTTCTTGAGGAATAGAAGAAAATGAGAAATTGAAAATCTTCATAAATTCAGCTTTAGCGGAATCAATCGCTTTATGTGGATAAAAGAGAGAGTTTAGATAATTGTGAATTCATTTGGAAGGATAAGTTCAAAAAACTCATTTTCAGATGTCTTGTCTGATATGAAGTAAGTTGTTTCATAAATATTTTCTAAATCTGAAAGCAGTATTAATAGTTGAAAACTTTAGCTTGAAGAATCCGTAGTGCCATCAATATTAACTACTAGTTAACATATTGTTC